TCCGGGGGGGGGGGCAGTGCAGCAGAGCCGAGGCAGCAGGCCGCCAATTGTGTGGCTTGTGGGCGTCGGCTGTCCTCTTTGGCTGCTTGCCACGCTCGCGTGCAGCGGCGAGTTTTGCTGTGTCTGCTCCCATTCTTGTCTTGTCAAGATTTGCTTCCATACTCGCGGAGCCAGCCCGGTTGATGGAGGGGCTCTTACAGCAGGGAAGGCAAGCAAAAGGCGCGGAAAATAGTGCCGACTTGGGTGCCAGGGCCGTTGCTGTGACGCTCGGTCTGGAGGCGGAAGAGGGGCGGGCGGCTTCCTCTTCCTCTCCTCACCCCTGCAGGATCAGCCCAGGTCAGGGACAAGAAAGGACCAGTCAGCTACTCAATTTCATGCAGTAGACCAAGGTCAAAACAGATGGCCTGGTCACCGTTGCTGGTGCAGGCCGCGGGCACGGCCAGACACCCAGCAGGCGCCGGCCTTGCGGCGGATCCACACTGCACACTCACGTCTCCCACAGTCTGCATGATGCTTGCCCCGGCCTTAAGGTTGATCTTGGGCACGCTGTACAGCTGCAAGGAAGGCGAGCGGAGGAGGGAGGGGAAGGTGGTTGGGAGGCGGGGTGCCATGGCAGCGGGTCGGCGGCAGTGCGCAGTGAGGGTGCAAGATTGCGCCAGGCATGGCATGCTGCACGGCTGTGCCCTACCTCTGCCACATTCATAAACCCATACACATCGAAGTTGCCGTCCTCGTCCGTCTTGAGCTGCAGCGGCGGGGGTGCGAGGCAGCGCGAGGCTGGCTGGGCGTCCCGGCCCGGCAGACGCTCCAGGCCCAGGCAGCCCCGCCTGCCAGCCCGGCCCCAGCCCTAGCCCCAGCCCCAGCCCCAGCTCCCCCTCTGCCAGCCCCACCGTCAGCTTGCGCCCCGCCAGCACGGCGTTGACGGTCTTGGTGCCCGTGGCGGGCCAGTAAGAGGTGGTGAAGGGGAAATCCACCATGTGAGCCTGCATGATCTGCACCGTCAGGCCCTGGTTCTGCAGGATCTGCTGCACGGTCAGCGGCGGGTCCATCGTCTTGCCCAGGGTGGTCCAGGCCTCGTCTGGGGGGAGGCGGAGGTGGAGGGCAGCAGGCAGGGCGGCGTCAGGAGGTGTGCGTGCGGCGGCGGCGGCATGGGAAGTGCAAGGCGGCAGCGGGTGGGAGCAGATGCAGCAGGCTGGGCATGGCAGCCAGGGTGCCCAATGGGAACAGGCAGGCAGGGAGCAGACGGCAGCGCTGCTCACTGTCCATCGCAAAGAAGGTGACTTGCAGCTTGGCGTTGGTGAAGAGGTCAATCATGCCGGCGGCCTGCAGGGAAGGAGGGTGGCAGGGCCTGCATTGGTGGTGCGCTCGAGTGGGACGCCAGCGGCGCGGATGCTCCCATGCTGCAGATGCAGTGCTTGTCCCTCGCACGCCACAGCTGCCCCCGCCATGCCGCATGGGACTGCCCATTGCCCTGCTGCGCTGTGCTAGCCGGCCATCAGCTGCTCCTCACGTTGATGGCTAGGACGGTTGTGGTCAGCTTCATGCAGTAAGCCGCGTCGTAAATGTTTTCGTACACCATGTTTGTGGGGCATGTTTTGGGGGCGTAAGGGTCGGTGGCCGTAAGCTGGCGCCCATGGCCCACTGCAGCAGGGGAAGATGCGGGTCTCGTGCGGGGATTGGCGGAGCAGCGTCCTGAGGCGGCGGCGGCAGTGGCGGCGGCAGCAGGGGGAGTGCGTCGATGTGCGCTTGCAGGCACCCCGGTACCCGTCCCAAGGCCCCAGGGATGCATGCCGGCCATGGCATCCACGGCAGAGCTCAGACATTCGCGGGTGGGGGGTACATGCCGTGCCATTTGCTCACCCGCGGCCAGCGCCAGGAGGCATGCGCACAGCAGGGCGCCAGCGGCCCTACGCATGATTGTGGGAATCGCGATCACAGAATGATGGGCTTCGCGCAGCGTCCTAGCGCGGGGGCGCGGGAGATGATACCACGCTCGGCCTCCAATTGGATGGGTGCAGCGCTGGGTATGGCCACAGGAAGTGCGTGGAAGCGCGGGGGAGGTGGGTTCGCGTCTCTGCTTATTCTGCGCAGGTGGCCAGCCTGGTGGCGGGAGTGCATCGCTGGTGCCTTGCGCCGCAAATTGATGCAACCCCTTGCGACTGAATCGTCATTACCAATTGATTCAGACGAGTAGACCACTGTAATTTGCCTGCGGCACTTCATGTCTGCCACCAGCAGCCGGATGGATGACTGAGTGTGCCTCTGGCACTGCCAGACGCCGCTGCTCTCCGTCCCTGTCTTCTGGTTCGCATCTGAAGGGTTCTTGATTACACTCTTTCAACAGGTACATGCTGCTGTCCACGTCAAGCGCTCACAGCATCCCGCAGGCAAGCAGCAGCAGGTGCGGGGCGAGCAAGTGCGTCAGCCAGGCGGCGCCGAGGTGGCGATGCGCATGCCACAGCGCGGCAGCCCCGCCCGCAAGCAATGCCGCACGCCCCAGCTGGCCCCGCGTGGTGCCAGGACGCACAGGACACAGAGCATACAGCGGGACGGCCAGCAGCAGGAAGGTGCAGCAGCGCACCCACTGCCCCATCAGCAGGTGGGCGCCCCGCAGCACCACCGCCGCCAGCCCCACAGCCGCCACGCACAGCTGCACCTGCCCGCCTGCCGCCACTACGCCGTCGCCGCCACCGCCCTCGCTGCCATTGGGATACAGAGCTGCCAGCATGGCCCGGGGACCCTGCGCTGCCACCAGGCCGACGGCTGCAGCCCACAGCAGCTGCTGGCCAAGCCATGCCAGGCCGCCATCAGGCTGCAAACCGCCGCCGGCGGCATGCGCACCGACTGCGCCCACAGCCACCGACACAGCATGGCAGGCAGCCACGCGCCGCCACGCCGCATGCCAGGCCGCCGATCGCACGGCTCCTCCTCCTCCTGCTGCTGCTGCTCCTGCTGCTGCTGCTGCCCGGCTGGCCACGATCAGCTGCAACAGGCGAGCAAGGCACACCGCCTGCGTCAGGCCGGCTAAAGTATCTGGGGCGGGCAGGCGCCGTGGGCCTGCCCTGCCGCAGTGGCATCGACACTGCGCCGCCCTCCAGCGATACACCCCAGACACACCCGCCACCCAAACACCGCGCACCTGTGCCAGGGCTGCCAGCAGGAGGCACGCAGGGGGCGCCAGGTAGGCCGCTATGCTGACGAAGCGGGTGGGCGACACCAGCGCATAGAGGGCGGTGGAGTGGTGCAGCCGCTCCTGGAGGTTGTTGAAGGTCCGCAGCACCATCTCCATTGCCGTCAGGGTGGTGTGGGCCGCCAGCTGCGCGCGCTGCGCGGCCTTGGCGCCGCCGCCGCGGCCGGCTGGCGGTTCGGCGGCCGCAGCAAAGCGCAGCGTCAGCGTCGCGGCGTCCACTTGGTGTGCCAGGAAGGCGGCGTGGGCGCCGGTGGGCTCCCCGCGGGCCAGCTGCCCGGCAAAGGCGGCCAGGGTCTGCAGGTCTGAAGCGTACCGCTGCGTCCCGGGCGGCGGCGCCAGGCCCAGCCAGCCGGCGGCGGCGGCCAGGGCGGCGCCTGCGTGCCACGTCGCGGCCGGCGGCGTCGCTGCGGAGGCCCGCAGGCCCACAGGCAGCGTGGTGTGCAGCTCCAGGTTCCTTTTGACGAGGTAATAGAGGTCAAGGTTGGGCAGCAGGCTGCCGCCGCCGTGCACGCTGAGCTCTGCTGAGCTGGCGCCGCTGTCTGCGCCGCCGCCGCCGCCGCTACCACCTGCCGGGCCCGCAAGCTCCAGCACCAGCGCCTGCTGCAACAGGCCCGCCCGCGGGAAGCCAAACAGGTCGTGGGCGCCGTTGTAGGCGGCCAGCCATGCCTGCGGCGGGGGCAGGCGCAAGGCAAGGTGGCAGACAAGTTCGGTCAGCCAGGCGGCCGACGAGGGCATGGATTCTGGCGCCTGCAGCCGATCAGCAGTCACACAAGCAGCTGATGTATCACGCAGTTTCTCAGCGACACTAGGGCAGCTGGCAGCTCTGGCTGGCTGCCGGCGACACACCTGTGCACTCTCCTCCGCCCCGCAGGCTTGTGTGTCAGCAAAGAGCAGCACCGCATCCTTGGCCAGCCAGCGACTGCTCCGCAAGTGCCCCAACGCTGCCACGCCGGCAGCGGCAGCCAGCGCGGCCGCCGCCGGCCTGCTGGCATCGAGCGGCAGCATCAGCACATAGCCCTCGTTGCCGTCGCCCCGCGGCGTGCGCACCACTGCATGCATGCTGCGGCACTGCCGCGGGGCGCTGCCGCTGCTGCTGTCGGCGCCGCCAGGGCCATCCCCCAGGCTGCTGGCGCTGAAGTTGTGTTGGTAGAACTCTAGGGCGGATGCAAAGGAAGCCATGGCAGCGGCAGCGGTGCGCACAAGCTGGGGGAAGTCGGTTGCGCTGCCGCCGGCCTGCAGCCGCTGGAGGGCCGCCAGGCATGCGTCCACCGCGCCGCTCTGCCTGCAGGCGGTGCCGGGACGGCGCATATGGGCAAGATCATGCTGCGGGGAGCCGGTTCTGCTTACGAGGGGCAGGCGGCAGGGCTGCACAGCCGTGGTGGAGTGGGTGCTGGTGCCAGCTGCCGCCAGGCGCACCTCACTGTCGGCACCGTGCCGCCCACCAGCAGCGCCTTTTCGTCCAGGTAGCACTTCTTGGCGGCAAGGGGCAGCAGGAGGAAGGCCGTCACGCCCAGCGCAAGCAGGAGCCACACCGCGGGCTGCGCGGCCCACAGCGCAGCAGCACCGATGCGCTGCAACTTGCTGGGATTGGGCATTGCAGTCAGGGCGCCATGCGGCAAACGGGTCTGATCAGCTTGGCCGACGGCCTGGCTGGCCGCCTTGATATCCTTGCTGATGAGATGGGGAAGATGCCAAGAAGAAGAGGACGCCATTTGGAGCGGAGACCAGGTGCCCCAGTGGCACGTCGTGCTCAGCAGCCACACCCGCCGCCGCCTGATTTTGGTCTTGCTGGTGCCAGCATCGCTGTGTCTGCATTCTATGACGGAAAGGCATTCAATCGCAGTACAATGCGTGTCCACATGCCCCTGTGGATGCGCACAGCCGCTCGGCACCACGGGGGCGGTGCTGGGGCGTGTGCACTGTGATTGGCATTGCATCGCAGTTGATTGGGGTCCCACAAAGGCACTCTGGCAAATATCAATGCATGGTTGTATCAAGGCTGCTTATTAGGAGGGAGAAAATAAGGGAAAAAATGGGCACGCATAGTACTGGGGAGCGAGTGATGCAAAAAATGGCAGGAAGAAAACTGCTCTCGAACTAAACTCAGGGACGTGACTGTGTGCTTCCACCACGCCGGAAGGTCCACGCATGCGGGAGAGCAGAAGCAGAGGGCTGACTGGCCAGACGGGTGGCCAGCAACAGGGACATGGGGGTGGGGTGGCGAGCTGACCGCTGGGGAGAGAAAGTGGTGGGCGGGGTGGCAAGTGACAGACTGTTGGGAGCTGACCACTCGGGAAGAAAGCAAGCAAAGGGGGGTAGCCGTAGATCGCATGGAGGCAGGGAGGGGCGCTGCGGGGGCGGCGACGGCGCTGTCACCCTCATCTCCGCCCAGACTTGGGCTTGCGGGCCGCCACGGAGCAGAACCTCTTGGCGGTGTCAAACAGCCAGCCGGTCTTGCAGCGCATGCACGTGCCCTCCACCGTGCAAGCCGCACAGTTGAGCGAGGTCGGCTGCCCAGGCATGCAGTCGCTGACGCACTGCAGCGCGCAAGGGGCAGGGCGAGCGGCAGGCAGCGGGTCAGCCGCTGCATCGCCGGGCGCGGCATGCGAGCGAGGGCCAGCCCACAGGCTCGCCATCAACACACCGGCCTGCAAGCGCGGCCGCCAGACAGGCAGGCAGGCATGCATGCGCGCGTGGCCCGCCCGCGGCCACGCCCCCACCCACCCTCTTGCTGGCAGCATCCAGCCGGATGACCGGCTTCTGGTGCAGCGCCATGCGCGGGAAGCAGGCGGTGCAGGCCCAGGTGGCGCCCTGGCGGCCGCAGGCGGAGCACCAGTCGTCCCGGGTGTTGGCCTGGCAGGTGGCGCGCTTCACGTTGCCGGCATAGGGGCTGTAGTCTGGGTTGCTGGGATCGTCGGCCCAGTAGAAGTTGCCGGCAACCTGGTAGTGGCTGCAGGCGGGGAGGCAGGGAGGCCAGGAGGCACAGGTGACCAGGGAGGGAGGTCGGGTGCGCGGGCTGGCCGGCAGGGCAGGCCGGCGGCGGCGCTGAGCTATGTGCGCTGGGCGGCGGGAAAGCAGAGCCACGGGCGCCGCCGGCGCGCCGCTCACCAGACCACAAAGTCGGCCTGCGCCCAGCCCTGCTGCGGCATGTTGGCCAGCGGGGCGCACTTGGCGTAGCCGCACCCCACCTTCCGCGTCTCGCCCCACAGCACTGCAGGGAGGGCAGGACGGGTGGCGGCGGCGCGGTGGGCAGGCGGGAGGGGGAGCAAACGCCGGCAGCGCCGTGCCAGCCAGCAGCCGGCCCAGCTGGCTGTGAGAGGGCTGCGCCATCCACCTGCCTTGCCTCCCCCTCGGCTCCCGCTGTGCCGGCTGCTCCCCAGCCTGCCCCAGCCACCACCGCCCCAGGCGCGCTTCCCAGCGGCAGCAAGCACCCCTAGGCGCGGCACCACTCACGCTGCGTCAGGGGGTTGGTGTCTACGTCGGAGTACCAGCGCCGCCCTGGCTGCTCAAACCGGTAGTTCTGCGGCAATAGAAAGGAGGGGCGCCAGGCAGCCAGAGCAGGGTCAGCACCGTGCCAGGCGGCTTGCACGGTGGCGCCTGCTGGCCGGCGGGCACACGGCGCGCCGCCCCGAGGCCTGCCTGCCGGCTGCTGCGAGTACACTAGTGCAGCGGCAGGGCGACGGCACCGGCCGGGCATCGCCGCGCTGGCAGCCCGCCGCCACCCAGGCGCTGCCGCCGTGGGCAGCCAGGCGAGGGCAGCTGACCGTGATCTGATGATACCACTCGTGGATAGCGTAGGTGCACACATCCATGTTGAGGATTGGGAAGTTGCGTCCATAGGAATAGAACTGCGGCAGGAACCGGCGGCGGCGACGGCGGCGGCACGCGCTGGGTGAGGGCAGGCGGCTGCATGCGCGGCTCAGCGGCTCCGTGGCGGGCGCCAGGCCAGTGCAGAACCCAGCTTCGGGGCTGCAGCCAGTCAGCGAAGCAGGCGGAAAAGCCCCGGCGCTGGCGAAGGCTGCAGATGCGCGCCCTTGCCCCAAGCTCACCCTGTTCTCTCCATACAGCGGCGGTGTGTCCCCCTGCCAATTGCTGCCGGCTGCAGGCGTGGGGGTGGGGGGGGAGAGAGGCGGGGGGCAATGAGCAGGGACGCAGCAAGTGGGGGCTGGCAGATGCGATGCCAGGGCAGGGCTGCTTGCGTGCCGATTCTGGCGGGCTAAGGTAGTGTTGACTCACGTGAGCCTACAGTGCTCCACACGCACTGGTTGGCATAGGCCTGGGCGCTGGCCGCCAGGCCGGCGTCCCACGTCAGCGAGGGAGTCCTGCAGGGCGGCAGACAGGGGGCACGGATGCAAGGCTGCGTCAGATGGACTGAGGGCGACCGCGACAGATTGCTCGGCAGTCTCTGGAGCTGGCATGAGCCGAGGAGGCGGCTTGCATGCGGGCAGCCAGGCAGGGGCACAGGGGGCGCTCCATGGGCCTCTAGCTGGCACTATCCCCCAGTGCGGCCTCGCCGCACCTGTGCTGCGCCCGCCGCTGGTTTTGAAGCTTGAGGGTGGCGGCGATGTTGGGGCAGCCTGCAGTAGACAGTGTAGCTGGGTGGTGAGTATGGAGGCTGCGCAGAGGCGCAGACCCAAGTACAGCTGGGAGGGAGTGGCTTGGATTCAGATCCGGGGGGAGGCTGGCCCCCCGCGATACGTGGCGAGTGTGTACCTGCCGCCACAGCGGACCAGCGAGCAGCTGGCTGCATTTTATGGGAGATTGCAGCAGGATGTCCTCGCTGCACAGGCGGCTGGCGGCACGGTATGCATTGGGGGGGACCTCAATGGCCGCACCGCCAGCCTGCCAGACTGGGTGGAGAGTGAGGAGGGGCGCACTCTCCTAGACCGCTGCGTTGCGCTGCCCCCCCGCGCTAGCTGCGACGGGGAGGTAAACCCCCAGGGGCGGGCGCTCCTGGGTTTCTGCGCTGCCACGGGCCTGGCTATCGCCAATGGGCGCCTAGATGGTGACCAGCAAGGGGAGTGGACGTTCCACTCCCTGGCACATGCCGGGAAGAGCCTGGTGGACTACTTCCTGTTGAGCGGGGAGGTGGTGGGCCGGGCTGGGAACAGGCTGCTGGTGCAGCCCCCAACAGATCGATTCGACCACGCCACCCTGCGCCTGCAGCTAGCGGGTGATTCCCAGGCTGCGGGTGCAGGGCCCTGCCCCGCCGAGGGGCTGGGGCCGAACCCGTGCGGTCCGGAGTACCGCTTTGTCCCCTCGCTGCTCCCGGCATTTGTGGATGCACTGCGGGGGGCGAGACCCGCACTTGAGGCAGCGGCGACCGCCGCCGCTGCCGCCACCTCCATCGAGCAGCTCACTGCAGCATGCATGAGCTTTGATGGGGTAGTGACCAGCTCCCTAGATACCGCTGGTATGCCAGTCCGGCAGGCGGGCCCTGCCCGATCGCCAGGCTGGCAGCGACAGGCATGCAAGGACCCGCTCACTTCCCGTCTCCGCCGGAGGAGACGGCGGGCCCTGAGCCGTCGTGACTTCACCCTGGCTGTTGCACTCAACCGCCAGATGTGGCCGCCGCCCGGCGGCACAAGCGCCAGGTGAAGCGCAAGAGGGGTCGTGACCTGGCACGGCTCGAATTCGATGCCCCGGCTGCCTTCCACA